CTCCCCGGGTGGGACGGGGCTGCGGCGCCTGCTCCGCACACGGGTGTTCTGCGTTCGCCTGCGGACGCGGACTCGCGTTTAAGGAACCAGTGGCGCAACACACGGGAGATTTTCCCTAGAGCTTAGCCATTTAAAGGGAAAAACGTGCGATACCGTTAACTGGGGAAGAGTGACGTGATGGGTGCAGCTCCCAGGGTGGTGGTTAAACAGCCCGGACCTCCCGTCTGCACGCGTCCTGCTGCTGGGGCTTAATGGGTCTTGCCTGTAACAGCCTCGGCTACAGGAACACAGAGATGAAACGTTTATCTGAAAAGCAGAGACACCAACTTTTTGGTTGTTAAAAAGGGGACAGCGACAGCCTTTCCCAGAAACGAGGCTGGAACAGGCAGTAAGCCAGGTACTCACAATGTTTTAGAGTATTTTGAAACTCTGCCTTTATGGTAAATCATGATCATCCCAGGCATTGAAGTTATTTGGGAGAGAGCATTGGGAAGAAAAAGTGGCACAGAGTGAAACGCATACTGGAATTTTAATGGGTCTGACTCCAGGAAGGCTCTGTGAGGGTATAAGTGAAAGACATTAAGAGCCAGCTCTTCATGTCTATCACACAAAACCTAGAATTGTTTCAGAATCCTAGCATTATGTTAAGTATTTTGTCAAACTAACAAATATAGTGATTTAAATCAGGTCAAAGTCCTAAAAATAAATCACTAGCAGAGAGTCCTAAACTATCTTCTTTTTATATGTGAGCTATACAGAGATGCTAAAAACCAAAACAACATATACTGATTTTTGTTAACTGGTTAAGTCATGTTTTTAAGTCAGGCCAAACTTCTATGAGAAGACTTAATTTACATATTTATTTACAGTTTGAAAACAAAAACATTCCCATACAACCTCTCAAAACATTTACACTGTGCCATGAAGTGATGAAGACTGTCTCTGCACGTTGACATATCTGAAGTGAATCAGAAATTCCATATGCACAAAGTTTCCCGTTAACAGAATTAAAAAAGAAGCACTTGTACACTATAACTGGATCTTCAGATCAAATCCGTCTCAAACATGATGCAGCAAGTTACATAAAAGTAGATCTATATAATTATCAATTAAATACATTTATATAATTACCAATTCGAAATTACTGACTCTAAAGAACCCCAGTGCAAAGCTGTTGTTTGCGCTAATGGATGTTGCCATCTTGATTCTGCAATCTTTATGTCCCCAAGCAGAAAAAAGTGTTCCTGGGAAAGGATTGCAGACAGATAAAATCTTAATTGAAGTACTCTGAAACATGGACTTCCTCAGAAGAAAGTTATTGCCTGTTTCATTGCATTCCTCTAAGATAAAATTTCCTAAGACAGGTTTGGTTTTTTTTCCTATTTATTTGTTATTGGCTGTTGCCCTTGGTGAGTAAAAACTCTGGATCCAAATTAATATCCACTAAAGCTGGATGGAAATTTCTTACTGACATCTGTATTCCAAGAGTCCCTTCTCCCTCATGCCCTGTAATGCTCTTGAATATAATCTTCATCTGCCAAGATAAAAACATGCCTGACCTGCAGACAGGCAGTTCCCCTTATTTGAATGAGACTGTTCACGTGTTCAAAACGGGGCATGTCTTCCGTTACGCTGCCGAACTGGAGCTGGAATAAGGCAGCCACCTCGAATATCTTCACCATCTGCAGCTACGACAGCAAACTGGAGAGCTACAGCTGTCTTGTATCTTTGTGAAGCTTTAACTTCAGAAATACTATTAAAAATACAGTTATGAGCAGTCATCGCATTTAAATTTAAAATAACCACAATCTCTGTTTAAACTTTGCAACTAGTGTTTTTTTATTATGTAAGGAAAGGGCTAAGTCTTCCGTTAAAAGACAAATGTGGACAAATAATTCAAAGAAGTCGTAATTTAGAAAAAACTTTTAAGGGATTATCAAAGAATAAGAGGTTTGAGTTTTTTTTCTTTTTTTTTTCCTTAAAATCAATTTTAAAGTTTATGATGATTTATATTAATACCAGTGATAAATGGGTTGTATATTTCTCTATTAATCTGTTTTAAATTAAGGGCTTACAAAGCTTCCTGCAAAATCTTTTTTCTCTCTAATTTTAAAATAATTCCTAGCTTTTTCTGGTATACATGTAAGTAGTGGCGAGAGTGGTGCATCAGCCATACCTGGAGAGAGAGACAGGCAATTATAGCTTAACCAATATTTACCTTTCATAACACTTATAAAACTAAAAACACGTCTTGAGTATCTGTGTACAAACAAGTCATTCTAAGAACAAACTGGTCTGCATTTAGACATTTGTAGTGGTAACATTTTTATTCTACTAAATTTCTATGTATTTCTAAACAAACCGTGAAGGTTTTCCCTCATGCAAGATACAAGCAGACCATAAGATGATAAAAACATTTAACTGTGGATTTTTGCTCCATTTTATGAAGTCGGAACACTTACCCGCTGGTGCCAAGGATTTCAGCGATTCTAAAAGATCCGGACTAGAAAACTTGACCAGACATCTGAATGGTTCTTTTTTATCCAAAACATCCATTTTAGGATCACTTTTAAACATCGTCTCAAGCTGTTAATAGAAAATTTAACCAGCAAGTATAAGCAATGAATGTATTTTATTTGTATGTTATTATTTAACATTACATGAGAAATGTAACAAGGCTGTATCTTATTTGTAATGCCAACATGATTCCAGCTGGAGGAATACTTTAATAAAATCAGAGGGTGCCACCATGTGGTAAACAGTTTTCTGCTGAAAGAGCAGCTTGTTCGGTAATATTGTAAAACATTAAGTATCTCTTAGAATTTCCAATATATCTGTTCATTGGATAAAATCTGTGCATCATCCAAGAAGTTAAATTATGGTGTTATATGTAGTATGAGCTTTGTATGTACTTCCAGTAACCCTTCAGCACCCTGCTGGTGTAAGCCTTTATTACAAAACAGAGTTAAAATGCTCAGGTCACAAGGCTGAAAGACTGAAACACGATCTAGTAGTCTGACCAAGTCTCAATGCAAATCTGTTTCTTAAAGATAGTTTTAACTAATTTATTTTAAAATATCCTCCTTAAAATTAAAAAAAAAAATTCTAGTATTTCTTAAACTTGCAATTTCATGTAGCTACCACTACATTAAAATTAAAAACAAAAATCCAACAAAATTTGTTGCTTTTACTACCTTATATTGTGCAAATTCAAGTTTCGGTTGGGGACCATCACCAAAAACTTCCCGATTCACTCTCTCTATTCTTTCTTTCTCATTTCTGTTTTCCTGAATTATCCTTAAATCTGCCGCAGGGGAAAAGAGTAGGGAAGAGAAGAGAAAAAACAGACAACCTTGTCAGCTGATACAATACTGTTTTTCTGATCAGGTGATTACTCCAGTGAGAATTGAAAAACAAAACTTCAAAAGAATTCATCACAATCTTTTTTCATAAGCTAGTTGTCTCCATCATTTATATTTTCAGTTCTTACCAAGAGGAAAACCCAAACTGTTATCAAAGGAGATACTGGGCATTGAGTATTTTTTTGGTTTCACAGGTGTGTCCAGTGACAGTAATGGGGAAACACTTACCTCTCCTAGTGCCAGCCAGCGATGTGGCACCCCGCCAGGGATGGATAATGTAGTGTGAACGTAACAGACAGACATTTCACAAGCCAGCAGTAATGACATTCAAACTGTTGTTTAATTTAAAATACACATACCACTTTCTGGTGATACATTCCTTTCTTGTGTACGTCTTGGATAATAAGTTTGGAAGTTCTAAATGGAGAGAGGAAAAAAAAGGGGGTTTGTTCACTTCCACTTTTAAAGGCTGTAGCAGAAAAGAACTTTCCAGGTTCCTTTCCACTTCTCATTTTGAAAGTGAATATTCTTCCAATTTTTGACAATTACTAGAAGTCAGAAAGCCCAGCTTTGTTTTGAGAAAAGAATGCCCGTGCTATGGTATCTGTGAACATTTCCCTATTTACAAGTTTTACACGGATGAACAGAGTAAGCACCCATTCTAATAGCTTTCAACTCATTTCTCTAGGAAGCCTAGTGAAATGATGCTAAAAAATCCGGGGACTGAATTGTTCATACAATTTTAAGACCAAGTTTAACCATCAGGAATAACAATAATAAAGAGTGGGTGGAATACTAAGTAATTACATCCCCATTGTAATGTTACCTTAATGAAAGGCTGGCCACCTCAGCGGTTCAATATTATTTTAACTTGATGGTCTGTTGGAAGAGATGAGTTTTCCCCTGTAGTAGGGGGTGAGAACTAGGCCTAAAACAAAAAGCAAGACTTATCTTAGGATGTACTTGTGAAGTGGCTCACCTGGCTATATCTCTTAAACACAATATCTTTAAGGGAGTTTAAAGAATGACTTCGAAGTTCCATTTCACGGATGTCACGGTAATTGGAAGCAAAAACCAGAGCCTTTAAATAAAAATTGAAATTGTTTTAACATCAGTCTTAATCATCATTGTGTTTATAACATGGAAAAAATAGAGACATTGCAATGTTTTTGTTTCAAGGTAAGCAACTGCCCTTTAACTAGCAGGATTCTCGTGTCTGAAAAAATGTTGAATTGACTGTTACTAAGCTGAGGCTAATGTTCAAAAGCATTCACAGGATTAACCAGATAAGCCTATATAGCTTTTTCAGTGAGAAATAAGGAAATAAAATAAACAGATTAATAAAATAATTAAGTTACTAGTATGGAAGCCTGCTAAATATATAAAAAATTAAAGACTACTAACGCTGATCACCATGAGTTGACAGAAAATTAATTTTAAAATGAATTAATAGCATTCCCTAATGAGCTCATACATTTTGTTCTTGAAGTTAGCTGTGACAGCTAACTTAGTTGATGTAATTAGTTGATGTAATATTCTTCAATTTCTACGAAACAATTTAACTAAACATTGCCTAACACTTGGTTAAGAAATTAGAACAATTCAAGGCCAGCAAAAATCCCAATAAACAGAATTTATTCACGATGCAGCATTCCAAAAGTCAAAGTTTGTTTTTTTTCCTCATTTTTATCACGAGTTAAGAGAAAAAAGTGACTATGTAGATTAGTAAATTATGTTAAGTGATGAATCTTTACCTGTCCTCTTAGAACTAAGACAATTATAGCCCTATGTAGCTGTGGTGAAGTCAAGGTCTACACAGGTTTATTCTGTACCTGACACAGCAGAGGCAAGTTGCTCCTAAGCACCGAGGCAGAAACAAAGACATAAGGAGTCTGTGAATGGTACACAACATAGCTGGTTTTGTACTGGTTTGGTTTTGTATATGGTGTTCCCCAGGCAATTCTAATCCAGATTGCATTATCCTCATATTCTCTGAAGCTGATCGTGACCTAACAGAAAAATAAAAGCTTTATTTCACCAGCACAGTCAGGCATCCAGAAAGATTTTGTTATTTCTTAACCCTGTGTTCACAAGACCCAAACATAACTTAGTACACTACTGCTTCAATAAGAAACAAATCCCACAAGTGTGCTCAGGATTGTATTTAAATCAAATTTCCACAAAAAAACAATAACCTCACAAACTAGAAAAAAAAAAAATCATCTTTCAAACTCTAGTATGACTTTTGTTTCTGTTGATGTACATTTTCTTCTGAAGAGTGAAAATAAAAATAGCTTATTAAAAAAGCCTTGATTCTCTCTTTTGGGAAAATAACAACACAACGCAAAGGTGCCTATTTAGATGGAGGGCTAGTGGCAATATTTCCAGTATGTCCAATTTTTGAGAAACTAAACTTTTAATCAACTTGTGACTTAAGAGTGGGAAAACTTCCTTTAAAAAAAAAAAAAAAAAAAAAAAGCCCTCCTTTTGACCAAGGCACGTGTTGTCAAGCTTTTAGTCCAACTAGGCCATCAACTGTTTAATTGCTGGACCAACATCACTTCTCAAATTATTTGTGGAATTTTTCTTTTTAAAATGAAAATATTGCAAAACTGTCTTATAATAGAGTTACATGAACTGCAGTTGATTACCTGTCAGTCTGATTTGTATTTGTTGCCCTCTGCTGTTGTCGAGTAGTGCAACAAGAAGTGACACAGCTGACTAGCCAAAGGCACTTTCTACTACCTGCTTAAATGAAGCTGGTGATCTGAAGCAAGAAAAGGCTTCTGCAAATTGCTGAGTAAAAAAAGTGAGATGATGGTACTTTCTTCCCATTTTTTTTCTTACCATGGCAATTTCTTTAGTCTAGAATTGCTTCCTGCTGTTGACAGTGGTCTTTCAGTCATTACAATGTAATGAAATACCAGCGCCAAGTTCTCACAGCCATCACAAAAAACATTTCAAAACCAGAATGGGAAGGAAATTGATACAATTTTGCTACTAATCTAAGTCATAATAACTGAACTTCCTTGTCCTGCTTACTGGCTACTTCAAATTTCCTCTATGCTCTGTTTGATCCAATTTTTGTTGTTTGTGTGTTGTTAATGGATAACAGGACAAAGCGGTATCAACCTACCTAGGCAATGTGCGCACTCAAACAGGGCAAAGATTTGATAGAAAAGAAACATACCGCTTTTCTTGAAGTCTCTCATATTTTAAGGCAAACTTACATCTTACTTCACTCCAGCACAGTTGTAAAGTTGGTAGAAGTGATATGCAATACATTTTTTCCTATTTCACATGCAGTTCCTATGATTCCCAAATGAATAATTCCATTTAATTTTTAATGCAGGCCATAAAAAACCCCAAAAAACATACTTGCTAAAGTTATGAAAACACGCTATTGACAACAGAGCTGTGTAACAAATTCAGAGTGGATTTATTCTTACATTTTTCAAGGCTGACCGAAGTCGTCTTTTAAATTTTTTTTTGAAATCTGATAAGTCAAAAAGTTCAATTTCTTCCTCTGTTACACAAGGGAAAAAAAAAAAAAAAGAAACAAGAATTGTCTTTACAAGAACTACACAGATGTTTTTACAGTTTTGTTGAAATAAAATTAGGCAGAAATAGCTGAAGTTGCACACCCTTATATGAAAAACCATGTATTAAATTTGAGCCTCGTTATTGCTGTATAAAGGTTAACATTTAATTAGTAGTTACTAATTTCTAGTAATTGCTTGAGAAGTTAATTGAAAGTATTCTATAAACATTAAAGATAACTCTATTGAAAAAGCCACACTAGACTATATTTGTATTTAAAAAGTATGATATGAGGCAGCACTGCAGTAAATTGCTGAGAACCCTGAGATTACAGCAAGGAAAGGCATTTTACCTGTTTTGTTCATCTGGTAAACGCTCCAAACTCTTTTGTTTGGGTAGATGTGGTTGTCTAAGAAAATAGGAATTGGTCAATAACAGTGCATTATCAAATGGTAATTAAAGGAACAAATTTACAATACTTTTATGACCAGGTATTTAAAAAAGATTACTTCTCATAATGGAATATAATTTATTCAGCATTCTTAGACTACCTTTGCTATGTAATTAAGGGTGTTACCAGGTTACTTGGAAGAAGTATAAATATGTTATTTTCATTAATTTTTTTTTTACTTACAAATTATGTCTAGGACAGCTGCTTGCTTTATGTCTGCAGAATTTTCCTGGAAAGAATAATAGTGCATGGTGAACTGCAGGTCCAGAATACTCTATCACACTCTTTAGTAAGTGACAAATCTCAGCATTTGGAGTTTAAACTGCACTGCGCTGAAGTCCACAGCATGTGCTGTCTCCTTCTGCGGCACCACACCTGGTCCCAATGTGCACACAATACAGTTTTGAGACATCAATATTGAAAGCTATTTCAGCAAGGTTTGAGTGTTTCTGCAGAGGCAGCAAGAAGAACGTTGTCCTTGTAGTATGAGGTACAAGCAACTAGAAAGTAAAGTTAATGGGTATTCATGATGTTACGTAACACCAACTAGCACTGGGCTGTGCTGTCAGGCATTTCAACATGCTGGGTTCCTCTTTATTTAACATTTACAGCATTAAAAGATTTTTAAGAAACTTTATGAGACTACTTGCTACAGATAAGAACGTTTCAGAAACAAACGCTATTTTAAAATAGGACATTTGCTATCTTACAAGAATAACTTCAGTTTCTTGCCTGCAGTTTGATCTACAATCCATGTAATTAATCTTTCAGTATGAAATTCATAGGGAATGATACAAAAGCTATAGAATTTGAGATATCAGTAGTAACTGTATCTATCTGAGTTTTGATACTATATATAGACTCCTGGTACACCAAAATCAGAGTGCATAAGTAGGAGATCAGAAAACTTTTTTTGCTTACAGTACGCAGAACAGAAGTAGTTCTGGCCAAGGAAATTTTTCAAAAAAGTCTGAATAGTCTAAAAGATATAAACTAGTGCTCTCATTACCCATACTAAATAGATTCAAATTAGCATTGTCTAATGAGTAGATGTCTCAATCCATGCCTTTATTTTACAATTTAGAAATACATCCGTTTCTTAAAAGTTTAGTGGAGGGTTTCCCTGCCCATGGCAGGGGGGTTGGAACGAGATGACCTTTGAGGTTCCTTCCAACTCTAACCATTCTATGATTCTATGATATCGAGCTTTTATCTACCTTGTGTAACTTAGAGCTCAAAACATCTAATTCCATACTCAGTAGGGGTCAATCCTGCCCTCTTACCAATCAGATAAAACTGATGGTATTACCAGCTCAGCTTTACGTTTTCCATACCACAAACTGTCATTTGATGCTGTGTTATGGCCAAAGAAAATTAATTTCCTTCTTCTTCCTGTTGTTTTTTTTTTTTTTTTTTTTTCACAATTACCTCACAGAGTTGAACAACATCTTGAGAAATGTTCTCCTTTATCTGATGGAAGTTTATGGTTTGCAGCTGTGTCTCGGAGAGAAAGCCCCAGTTCTGTAGCATTGCCTTGATTTCATCTCGTGGGATTTTTAGTACGGTTCTTCGGATATACTCAGCAACGGTTTCATCCATGATGAAGCCACCTGAAAAGTAGAAACGTTGAGGAAGTTAAGATCAAGGCGCAGGCAGGCTGAGATTTGCTCCCTCAGTGAGGTGTACAAAGCCGTACCTGGGCACGACTAGCAAAACGCTAGCATCGGTCCTAAGCGTAGCACTACCAGATTTCAGCGGACATCAACGACAGCGAATTAAAACGCATTCTACAATAATTTCCCCCCACGCCCCTCAGAACCCACCTCACTGACCA